GAGAGAGAGAGAGAGAGAGAGAGAGAGAGAGAGAGAGAGAGAGAGAGAGAGAGAGAGATGGTGGGGGATTAGCGAGGGCGAGCACATGATGGGGATGGTAGATCGCAAGATTTATATAGGGCTCGTATGTTGCTATTTTGGGAAGTTTTTTTGCGCGCGATGGCTATTTATGGAGCATGAGAGCGTAGAGAGAAGCAATTAGCCTTCCCCCCCCCCCCCCTTCTTTTTTGTCTCTCCCCCATGGTGCTTGAGACTTGGAAGGTTCGTTGAGTACTCCTATGGATCGCTAGGCAAGTGATTTGAGAGGCGAAGCCGGTTGGTACTGCACAGGCGGGTTGCCACGTGGCGCGCTGAGGTGTCAAACGACACCATTGGAGCCTTAGGGAAAGGAACTAGTAGAAGATGGTATTGAAATTTACTGCTGCTACTACTACTACTACTGCTACTGCTACTGCTACTGCTACTGGTGCCACGTGTCAAACTACTGCTACTAGGGATCCAAATATTTACTACTGCTACTGCTACTGCTACTGGTGCCACGTGTCAAACTACTGCTACTACTATTGGTACGCGTCAGCAGCTGACGTGTCAAACGACAGAAAGGAAAGTTTTTGGATAACCACCGGGAAGGTGCCACGTGGCGGGCTGACGTTCCAAACGACGCAATGGGAGAATCGTTCCGATGGTCTCCCGACAGCAGTGGTGAGTTGCAAAATTATCCTTTTCAAAGCTATCCTTTTGCAAAATTATCCTTTTGCCAGATTATCCTTTTCAAAATGATCTCGTTTTCAAAATTATCCTTTTGCAAAATTATCCTTTTGCAAAATTATCCATTTGATTATTCTTTTGTAAATTATCCTTTTCAAAATTTATCTCGGTTGCAAAATTATCCTTTTGCAAAATTATCATTTTGATTTAGTGTCAATGTTTTGTGTCTAGATTCGAGCATCCATGAAGTTTGGAGGGTTGGAGAAGGTGGTAGAGGCGAGGCAGGGCCAGGAAGAGCTCTCTCTCTCTCTCTCTCTCTCTCTCTCTCTCTCTCTCTCTCTTTCTCTCTTTCTCTCTTTCTCGTTCTCTCTCTCTCTCTCTCTCTCTGTGTTTTCTTGCGACAACCCCTGACGAAACAATAACAGAAAATTGCTTTTTGGAAAGAATTCCGAGAACAGAAACGGGAAGATAAACCTGGAAGTTTGGGAGGGGGAAAAACAAAAACCAAGAAAAAACAACAACAAAAGAAGTAAAAAAAAAAAGCAAATTAAAATAAAAAAGACGGTGAGATAGTAGAAGCATGCCATTTGTTTCCCTTGTCTTTTTTTTTTTTCTTTTTTTTTTTTTTGTGGGAGGTGCCCTTGTCTGAAGAGACCTTCCTCGTAGAAGCAAGTTTTCGGATCTCGACGCATTTATTTATTAATATTGGGATGAGTACTTTTTTTGTGTAAAGCATTTTGAGTAAATCTACTCTATGTTGAGACTGCAATTGCAGAAGCTTCGCCTAAGTGTTTCGTTTTAAAAAAATAAAAAATAAAAAATAAAAAATAAAAAATAAAAAATAAAACTAAAAAATAAAACTAAAAAATAAATCTAATATATATTTTTAATTTTGGCATGACGCATTGGTTTATTCCCTGCCTGCATGCTGCGAGTGCAAATCCAGAAGGTTCCCCTAGGGTTTAAGGTTTTCTGGATGGACCTACATGACCCCCGCCGAGGAGCTATTTCTATGTTTTCGTGGCGATTTCTGAATGTTTTTGACCGCAATGACGGCCATACTCAGATAAAAAAAAACTCCTAAGCCTTCTGCGTTTTTTTCTTTTCTTTTTTTTCTTTTCTTTCTCGCGGCCTTATTTGCAGGCATTCCCCCCGAGGAGCTACCGGATGGGTCCATCCCCCTCCTCCGTGATCTTGCAGGTAGCATTCGGGAGGGTTTGGATGTGATGCGTCATTGGGGTCCTTCCGAGTATTGGGGGTTATGGAGGATGTACCAAGAGCAGAAGAATGCCAACCAAATAGACACGGTGCCCGGAATTGCCATGAACGACAGGTGCGAGCCATGGAAATCTTTTTTTCATTTTTTTCTTTTCTCCTCTTCCTTTTTGGAAGACCTCGGAAATCTATCTGCTCTGTGTGGGAGCATATATATATATATATGAGAGAGAGAGAGAGAGAGAGAGAGAGAGAGAGAGAGAGAGAGAGAGAGAGAGAGAGAGAGAGAGAGAGTTTGGAGGGTTGTGATGGGGTGTGAGCCGACAGTCTGTAGAAATTTCCATCTGATGTGGGTGAGTGATAGTCTGCTATGATTTTTCGTCACAGGTACCTTGAGGGCAGTGGTTGGTGGTCCCCACCACCTCCGAGGGATATCAGTTGTCGGGCAGTGTTTGATGCTTAACCACAACCGGGGTTAAGGTGGATTATCACTTACAGTGTAGTCAGTTAGGGGACTTTGCAGACTGTTGAGGGTTCAGCTTCCTGATGAGTAGGTAGGTGAAACTCCGACGGAACAGTTAGTCACAGCCCCTCGTTTGTTGTCCCCTTCTCCCCCTCCCTCTCTGCCCCTATGCTTTACCGGGCAGCTCTGTTTGACGATATATATACATGTTTTTCTTTTTTGTGTTTTGAGCTTTCCTTGTACGTAAGAGGTGATGAACAGGCGGAACTTTCCTTCCTTACTTGTTTTCTCTTTTTGCTTTGTCTTTTTCCGCCTTTGCGCTCCATTCACAGTGTGACAATATATATGATATATATATATATATACATGAAACAGTTTGTCACAACCCCTCGTTTGTTGTCCTCTTCTCTCTCTCTGCCTACGGTTTACCGGGCAGTTCTATTTGTGACGATATATTTTGACTACATATATATATATTGTGAAGAGCAGAGGATTTATTGTTTGATGGATTGATTGGTTGCTCTGTTTTTTAAAAGTGCCGTAGAAAAAAAATGTTAATCAACTCTCTGTTCTTCTTTGCAAAAGTCGGGATTTTTTACTTTTTTTATTTTTAATAGAACTTTTCAGAATCGTTAGTCATTATTAAATTATCTGAAAAACTCCAACCTTGAATCGGGAACCATCGTGTGGGCCATGGAAGTCTGCTCAAGGTGGATATTAAGTGAGATGCTGCAACAACACAACCGAGAGAAAGAGTATCCTCGAACAAAAGGGATCCGGGCGGGTGGGGGGAAGAGGGGACGGGAAGAGGGCGCCATGAACTTATGAGTAAGACAAACATAGAGGAGCAGGAAGGAGCGAAAAGGGAGGAGGAGGAAGGGTGAGAAGGGAGGGGGCAGATGAGTAGGGAGAGTGCGGCACTGTGACATAGTAAACGTTATGAAGATTGAGATGAGGAGGAAGAGGGCGAGGAGGAGGAGGAGGAGGAGGAGGAGGAGGAGGAGGAGGAGGAGGAGGAGGAGGAGAGGGACGACGAAAAGCAATGATGAGAGTGTGACTGTGGCATCATAATCATTATGAAGATTGAGGTGCAGGAAGGAGGAGGAGGAGGTGGAGAACGGGGAGGGGGTGAAAGGAGCACGTCTTTACAACATAATGACTACGAGAATGGTGGGAGTATGACCGTTGCATCATAAACGCTATGAAGATTGAGGTTGAGTAAGGAGGAGGAGGAGGAGGAGGAGAAGCACAGCTTTGCAACATAACGGCGAAGACAATGGTGTGGACTTTAAGAAGATGAAGAGGAGGAGGAGGAGGAGGAGGAGGAGGAGGAGGAGCAAGAACTGCAAATGATGATGGATGTTGAATAATAAGAAGATGGCAGAGGGTAGAGGAAGAGGAGGAGGAGTATATGACACATGGCCTTGGCAATCACATGGCAGGAGGAGCAGAGAAGAAAAAAGGCAGGAAGGGGAGAGAGAGGAGCGAAGAGGAGGAGGAGACACCTGCCGAGCACTGGCAATGACGATTTCTCCCCCTCCCTGCCAACTCTCAATGACAAGGGGACCAAAAAAAAAGAACAATGGATACTACCCAAGTAACGCCAATTACGCTCGTTGGGTAACTTAAAGAAAGAAAGATCGCCTCCAGTCAACCTAATGAACACAAAGAAATAGCACACATTGTAAGTGGTGCCTTGTTCTTTCTCCACCTCTGTCCCCCCTCCTCTCGTCCTCCCCTCCTCCC